TTTGAAGCTATCCACAGACACTGTTGCATGAGTTCCATCCCTGGCCAGGAAGTTGACCCACATGGAACAGCAGACCTCTCCTGTATGGCCCAATGCTCCCCTCAGTGTATCTCAGTTACTTCAGTCAAGCTGCCCATTCTGTTCCCCACTCACCCTTTGGTGAATTGTTTCAACCCCTGAATCTCTGGCCTATATTCCAGTTTTGGTATGCATAAATAAGTAAAAAAATTCAAAGTTTGGACTAGGGCAGTGACTAGTTAATTGGTTGACCCCAGTTCACTTATCGAAGTGTTAAGTCAGGGAGATAAGAGAAGGAATATCGATTTGCTCAACTTCATCTTTCCTTCTACCTCATTTGGGATTAAGTAGGGTTGTATGCATTCTGAGCAATCAAATGGACAAGTTTATGCTAGTGTTTATGAGTTTAACCACCTTATAATTGCCAACCATTCTTATTTTCAATTCACTTAATAGTACTGGTTCTATTAATAATTCAATAGATTTAGCTGCATAGTTTAAAAACACTTTTTTTTTTCTGCAAGAATCTTAGAAATATTTATACTATTGTCAGTCAGGTCTAATGTCTTCATAGGTTATGCCAATGATAAAAGTAGTATTGCACTGGGCTGTGTAAAAAATTGTATATGTTTCTATATCTTGGGGATGAGGGTTAAAATGAATACAGTTCAGAATCATAATTTTTAATAAGAAGGGAAAGTAGCTATTAGTTTCATTGTTGTCAACGTTGGCTACACCTTAGGTTCACTCCAGGATCTTACAAAAAAATGTTTGTGGGTAGACCCTCTATCTCAGATATTATGATGCAATTGATCTGAGTAGGCCCATACATTTATGCAGTTTAAAAACACCCAGGTTAAAGGGGATTGCAACTGAGATGGAAAAATGCACAAAAATATGTAAAAATGAACTAATATAATATTTAAAAAACCCAGGTTATTTTAATGTGCAGTCATGCTAAAAACCATTTCCTGTGTTGACACAATAACTTGATACAATAGAGAAAAGGACACCAGCCTCTGTTCAAAAAACTAATTTATCTCCTG